TTTGACCTCAGGCCTAAGCTCACAGCTTTTTCTTCTTGGTTCTTTGGGACATACTTAGAATGTTATAGTACCAACTCCGAATCATGTTTCCTTGAAAGGGATTTAAAAGACTATTTTGCTGAATTCTTACATATCATATTATTACATCTTGTGGATACTTTTTCTGAAGGAATATACCTCCAACTTTATAGAGAAAAGTGCTAGGAAACAGAATCCAGTAGAATATTCCTTTTGTCTTATAACCTTTTCTAGAACATGGCACTCACATTACTCTGTTCTGGGAAGGTCTCTTGAAGAACCTGACTTTCTAGAGCAAACGGGGATGATTAAGGAAGACACAGCAGTTGTTCCCAATCACAGTACATATTGCAGAAGTGAAAAGGCGACTTGCATAATTAAGTATGAATTAATAAGAATTCTAATTTTAATTTTGAACTTATAAAAGTACGGCTTTAGTTGGACTCCTGACACTGCCTTTTTTTCCATTGTTTTTTATTAAGGTATTACATATATACATATCTTCCCATTGGCGCCCTCCCCCCCCCAACCCCCCCAGACTCTGACACTTTGAATAATAGTAGAGGTAGTTTTTTTGTTTGTTTATTTGTTTTTAAATAACTGTCCTTTTGCCAAAACCAGTTTGGCTCAGAGGATAGAGCGTCAGCCTGTGGACTGAAAGGTCCCGGGTTCCATTCCGGTCAAGGGCACATCCCCAGTAAGAGGTATGCAGGAGGCAGCTGACCGATGTTTCTCTCTCATAGATGTTTCTAACAATCTATCCCTCTTTCTTCCTCTCTGTAAAAAAACAATAAAATATATTTAAAAAAAACACCTGTCCTTTTAAATATGAATGTGAATTGAGCTTATGAGACTGATTTTTACTATCGGAATAACCACAGGGAACCCCGTTCTCCACGCTCTCCATCCCCTCTTACCCCCGTTTACCAGGCCCCGTGCGGTGGGGAAAGTGGGCCACGGCCTCAGATTTCCACAGCATCATTCCACTCAGTAAAACCAAGTAGGCCTTCCCGTTTTCGAAACCTTATATTTTACTCTATACTTAAAAGACAGCTAGCTGACAAGAACAATTTAAAAATAGCAGACCGTGGACAGGTGACAAAATGTCACGCTGGCAGCACCAGACGGCATTAGCAAAAATCGCCAGATGTCACACACTCGGTTCTATTTTTGCAGCTGATTAAACAGCAGTGTTTGTTGGACAAAAGAGAGGAAAAAGAAGTGGCCTCATCTGAATTTGGAGTCGATTTTTCTTTTGCTGTTATATATTTGTTTCTCCACCAAAATGCCATAAAGACTTAAGGCATTCAAACTATTAAATAAAAAATAAAATTGTAAAATAATCCCCAATTTTAGAAAAGAAACTTTTGGTCATATGCAATTCCTAAACTGGAAGACAGTAAATCAGGGAGTTAACAGAGCTTGTCTTTGATTGGTGATCTTGTTTTCTGTATTTTTCTCTATTGTCTCATTTTTTCTCCAATGAAGATATAGTGCACTTTATAATCTAAACGTTAACTTTTGAAGAGGTAATGAAAGTAGCTTAAAGAAGCCATGAGTAGTTTTACTAAAAGTAATTTGCATTTAGTTGGGAAAAAAATAGATTGTATTTAAATAATTTGTTCTGGCTGGTCTGGCATTGACCCAGCGTTTTTTATAACATATTTTATTGGATATATTGATCCAGAGATCCATTGGGCCAAAAAGGCCAACAGGATTAGGGAGACTATCAGGAAAAGCAAAAAATTTCTGCTTTTTTAGCAAGTAGTAACACCTTTGTCTACAAAACATTGCCCAAGGCCCTGGTATTTGCTGCATCTTTAGAAAGATTGAATCAGAAGAAATCATTGTGGGATGGAGGATGATTGATTAGAAAGCTACCAAGCTTCTTTTCATTTTCATTTTTCCTGGCTGAAAAGTCCTAAAACCTCAAGGAAAGCATCCAAAAAGGCTCCAACTTCTGGAGGACCTCAGAGAGGGACATACAGAAACATACAGTAACTATCATTTGATGCAGTGATTGTAAAGTGCCTAATTCTTTTAAAAATGTGTTTTTTGATTTTTAGAGAGAGGAAGGGTGAGGGATAGAGAAATAGAAACAACCATGAGAGAGGAACATCACTGATTGGCTGCCTCCCTGCATGTCCTCCATTTGGGATCTAGTCTGCAACCTGGCATGTGCCCTGACCTGGACTCAAACCAGTGACCTCTTGATTCTTGGGTCAACACTCAACTGCTGAGCCACACGAGCCAGGCATAAACTACATAATTCTTTACCATTAATGTGCTTAGCACAGGAAAGAAAAGTTGAATGAGGATCAGCTAAATTTGGGCTTGCTTTGTTTTCTTGATAATCCTTTGTTATTCTAGGAATGTTTAGGAAACACCTATCTTTTAAGAACCACACTTACCTCTGAATATGCCTTGCCTAAAGGTCGGAGAGATCTTCTCTCCATGGTATTTCCTAAAGCTCGGATAGGCAGTGATTTTGAACTCTTGTTGGGTTTTTAGGAAGACTTTGCAGTGACTGGGCTATTTTGCAGTTAAATTTGAATACCTCAGAATATGAATAAATCATATCTAGTGTTCATGACTTTTAGTATTTGGTGGTTATGAGTCCACAGAGTATCTTGGTTATCTGAAAGTAATGGAGAGAATATTGATATAGCTAACTAAAATCAGAATGAAGTTTTCTCTGCTGAATCTAAGTCTGTTCTGGCAACAAATTTACCTAGAATAGGTTCTGATCAAGGTGGTGGTAGGATATAGCACTCCTGGCATATGGTTCAGACTATAATTTTTAGGGACTCTAAATTGACTTAGGGGCTGGAAAAATATATAATAGATATTGTTAAATTTGTCTTTTAACAATTGGTAGTTTTTGAAACTCCTAATTATTAGCCTCTGGTAAATATGAAAAGATCTTTAAAAATTCTTTAAAAACAATAAAACAGTCAATTCAATTATTAAGAGATGATTTGTTACTAATATTATTTTTCTGTAGGAAACATTCAAATATATTATTAAAAAGAATTTTGCCATAATATAAATGTTAGCAAAACAGTTTCCACAAAACTAGAGATAGATGTATAATAATATCTTCCTCCTGATAAGGAAGTTTAAAATAGTGAAAACTGAAAATATTTTTTTGTGAAAGTTCTTTAGTGTTTCATGGTAAAATTAGAACAGTTTCATCAGAATCCATCAACTATTGATGATTTTTCCATTCTTAATTACTCTCTCTGACACACACACACACACACACACACACACCCCAGTACAAACAACATTATACTTAAGAGTTTTGTTTTTTCCTTATGCCTTAATATGAAATGACCTTTCACAAATTACTGTGATGAGGATGATTTTGACTTCACAAGGAATTCATGATTCCCCCCTTTTTATAGTTGAGACAAATACTGTGATTTTTCCCTTTTGGGCCAGAAGAGTTGGATAATGCTGTTTGATCTTCAGTACCCATAACAGAATTCAAAACCAAATGATGACTGGCCTTTTGCAGTTGTTTATAACACTGTATTTGTTGTAAGAGTCAATCACTTCTTCCTTATCTCCAGCTTTCTCTGCACCACTCTCCCCCCCAAATGCTATTGACGTTTATTTAAACAATGATAGTGACCTAAAAATCAAGATTTTTTCCCTGAGAATTTCATGTTAACTCTTGACACAATTGGACATGAAAACCTAGCAGAGCCAAGTTCGTAGATATTAGCTTTACACAAAAAGCATTGTCTTAGGAATGATTTTGTTGTGGGAATTGGACAAGAAAACTTACTAAGTACATTTTTTTCTCATATAAAACTCTGTTTCATTTTTGTGTTGAAACACCCACCTCCTTTTTCTAAATAATTAACGAAAAAGCAAATCAAATGTCCACATCTTCCGCTCTCACCCTTGAAGGCTATTTGTTGAAACATCTGATTTATTCTTATCACTTTGTGTGTCAAGAGCCAGAGAGTAAATATATTAGCCACATGGTCTCTGACACACATTATTATTTGTTCTTTAGTTTTTGTTTTACAACCCTTAAAAACGTGAAAATGGCCGAAACCAGTTTGGCTCAGTGGATAGAGCGTCCCAGGTTCGATTCCGGTCAAGGGCATGTACCTTGGTTGTGTGCACATCCCCAGTGGGGGTGGGGGGGGTGCAAGGGGCAGCTGATCAATGATTCTCTCTCATCGATGTTTCTAACTCTTTATCCGTCTCTCTTCCTCTCTGTAAAAAATCAATAAAAGATATATATATTTAAAAAGTGAAAATGATTCTTAGCTTTTAAGGAAGGGGACAGCACAGGTAGCCAGCCAGTGTGGGCAGAAGTTTGCAACCGCTGTAACTACTGTAAGGACAAATGTTTATCTGAAGATAAACATCATGCCCAAGGTCATATAACTCAGCAGGGATAGAGGCAGCAGTAAGCACCCCAGGTTCTTAGGCTAGTCATTGCTCCCCAATTCATTATATAAATTGTACCACCTTCCTTCCAGCTGCCATTCTGGTAAGGGTTGCATTTTTGAGTCACTATGAGAACTCTATCTTTTTATTCTTCCTTAGCTTCAAGTTTATATAGTTCTTGAATTCATTATTTTCCTGCTTGAATTTGAAGGGCACTGTGAATGGGTGTTTAAATAAAATGCTTAATTCAGGGAGATGGCATGCTTAAATCGGAATGTGGAGATGCATTAAAATATCAGAGGATTATAATGGAAGCTTATAGTTTTTGTTTTGTTTTGTCTTGTTTTGTTTGTTGTTATTGAGACTTTGGCTTTGTTTTAAAATTTTTCATGTGTCTATTTTATGACTTGATTTAAAAACTGTTGTGATCGCTTATGGCCTTTGATAGCATTGTTTGTTGTAGATTAATTTGTTTTAGCTTTTTGTAATGTTCGTATTTTACAATGTTTTGAAATGATTATAGTAAGCATTATTTTCTTTGTGTTTAAAATAAAATTACTTTTATTTTCTAGGACGCATGGGAATAAATTTCCATCATCCAGGAACAGATAATATTATGGCACTTAACAGTAAGTCTTAATGTGAAATATCCTATAAAATTAGCAGTCAAGTTTACAGCATGTTATTTCCATGTGTATTTTTTTCTTTTTAGTAATTTATTTTTATTTTTTTTATTACAGTTGACATACAGTATTGTATTAGTTTCAGGTGTACACCCCAGTGATTAGACACCGTATAACTGACTACGTGATGATTTATTGGGATAGTTCCACTTTTTGTTTATTACATTTCAGCATTTCAATGAGTAAAAGGTAGACCATTATTTTATACTAGTGCGGGTCCTTTATAGAGAACTTAGCTGACCCCTGTGCATGCCACTGAGGTGGAATAAGGAAAGAGGAGAAGGAAAGGAGGGAGGTGCAGGGACAGGGAGGAATGGGTTAGATAATGTGAATGACTAAGTCAACTTATTTATACATACATAACTCAGAATTTTCTCATTTTGGTAGATAGCCACAGTTCAAACTGGACATCCCATTAGTAGAGTTTACATAGGATATAGATGTCAACAGCTTTTTTAAAAAAAATATATTTTATTAATTTTTTACAGAGAGGAAGAGAGAGGATTAGAGAGTTAGAAACATCGATGAGAGAGAATCATCCATCAGTTGCCTCTTGCACACCCCCTACTGGGGATATGCCCGCAACCAAGGTACATGCCCTTGATCGGAATCGAACCTGGGACCTTTCAGTCCACTGAGCCAAACCGGTTTCAGCAAATGTCAACAGCTTTTTAGGTTAGAAGTATTTTTGTCAGTAATAATTATTGAATTGAGTTCTGGAGTGTCAAAACCTGTTAACCAGAAAGTCATTGTATTAATTAACCCTGGAAGAAATATCTGGCTGTCATCAATTCTCCTCCCAAGTGTCTATAGATCAAATAAATACTTTGAAGGAGACATCATATTCTCAATCCCAACTCGATGAGAGACAGGTATCCTGGTGAGCATTCTCACTTCTCAGAACTACTTCCTAAGTGTGAATGGGCCCATTTCCCATTCTTTGGTGTTCCTGCTGCGCACTTTTCCTCTGAGAATTACTACTGCTGAGGTCATCCAAACTGAAATTATCATATGTCAGAAGGACCTGGCCAGCCATTGATTTAAGTTTCCTCCTCTATCAAATGAGTGATATCAGGTTGTCCACTCCTATTCTGTCGGATATACTAGTACAAGCTAACTCTTGATACACCTGGGGGGCATCCTGGTTAGGTCCAGGGTTGTGTACCATATGGCCCCCTTCCCTCTTCCTTGAGTGGGGATGTTAAAATGCCAGTGGGGTTCCTTAGGGCAGATTTCAGGTTATCTCTAATATATATATATATTTATTTATTTCATATTTATTTGGGCTCCAACATGCAGTCTACCTCCTTGTGAGCTCTGCAAAGAACCCATGACAGTGCTTGACAGTGTGGTTCTCATTCACTGTGTGCACATGTTGTTCTAAAGAGCAAGTATCCCCTCTTTTTGAGGGTATTAGAAACAATAAAAATTTACTCCAGAGTATTCACCGCTATTTTCTAATTTCTAAAAGAGCGGTCACTTTACATTCAGATTGTGCTACCTTTAATTTTTTTTCCCTCTAGATATAGGTACATTGGGGTGAAGATAAATAGGCATGCTTAATTTGCTAAGCTTCTGCGATTTAGTGAAAGTTTGTGAAAACACGTTAGTCAGGTGGAGAGATGTGGAGCTGAATGTAAAAGGAAAGAGCAGCATGAGAGTGTGTGAAGGAGTGAGTGTGTATTTGAGGAACGATTGAATCTGACATGATGTGAGTTCTCTTGCAAGAGGGAGATGATACAGGTTTTTTTTTTTTTTTTTAATTTCCTGTGTAAAATAAAAATGAAGCTAGAAGACATTTTTCTTTCTAAAAGGTTTTGATACTTCGTTTTAAATCTCTTTAATTCTCTCCTTTTAAATAAGAGATTTTGCTTATGTTTTTTCCACTTCGTGCATGTTACTTAAATTGCCCCCTTTAGCCTCTAAATTTTCTCATTTGTAAGAAAAGGGAACTGAAATTAGGCCATCTTAATAACTGCTTTCATGCAGAAGGTTCTATGATCCTGTAATGTACTTTAAAATATCAAAAGGGTCACTCTGGCTGGTGTGGCTTCGTTGGTTGGGCATCATCTGTGCACCGAAGGGGTTGCCGGTTTGATTCCTGATCAGGTCACATGCTCTGGTAAGAGCGGTTGATGTTTCTCTTTCTCTCTCCCTGTCCCTCTAAATTTTCTCTTTCTCTCTCCCTGTCCCTCTAAAACATTAAAAAAAAAAAAAAATCTTTTTTAAAAAGGCTCTTTGGTTCATTTCTCTTTGCCCTTAGGCCCCTTGGATAGGAAAGTTGAAAATGATGCTCGTTCATCTCATCTTTATTGCAATCTTGTTTAAAACATGGCAGTGTTTCTGTTTTCTAAAAAAGGTAAAGGAACTTGCTGATGTCATGTGGCTTGGTCACACACTTGACTCTGCCAGCCAGTCTCTTCGCCCAGTGTGATTTCTGCTCTTGGGTTTTCCCTGAAAGATCGCTCATGTTCCAGTTAGCTCTTTTGTTAAGAGTCAGCCAAAGAACACTTCATTGACCTTGGAGAGTTAGTGCACCTCCAAGGGGATCAGTTTTATTTTCAGAACATCGTCTTCCTTGCGGGTGGCAGGATTTTTTTTTTTTTTTTTTTTAATATATGTTACTGATTTTTTTACAGAGAGAAAGGGAGAGAGATAGCTAGGAACGTCAATGAGAGAGAATGGTGGCAGGAATTTTAACCGTGCTTCCACCGAGGACTGGAGTCAGGGCAGACTGGGAGTCTCCTCTCCAGGGCATGGTACTCAGAGGATCCCTAGGCAAACGGAAGTAGATGAAACTTTGCCTTCTTTTCTTTGTTGCTCTTCCCTCACAAATACTTTTGTTATCTGCATACGTTTTTTTTCTTCAGCCTCTTAGAGTGGAAATAATGCAGTTTGAGGGAAGAAGGGCAAACAGATCCGGGTTTAAATCCTCGATCCATTACTGATTTGCTCTGTGACCTTGGGCAGCATACCTGGTTTTTCATCTTAAATTAATATATTCCTGGAGAGTATTGCACTAAGTGAAATAAGCCAGTCAGAGAAAGAAAAGTGTCACATGATCTCACTTACATGTGGAATCTAAAAGTACCCATTAACACACTGATTTTAATTCATAAAATAAGAGCTTAAAGTATTATGATTAATAAAGACATTTGCAAAGTTCTTTTTCGTTAATCTTAGATGATGCTACTAAAAGCAGACACTGAGAGAATGAAGTCTGTGGAAATTCTAAAGGAATTTCTGGGTACTTGCAAGGACTTGATAGGTTGAAATACTGGCTCTTCAGTGTTGGGATTTAAGGGTAAGGGCTTTTCAAATGTGTGTCAGCTGGTGTGTTACTTTCCCAGGACTGCCCTAACCACACAGAATTTTATTTCCTCACAGTTTTTGAGGCTGAAAGTCCAAGGACAGGGTACCAGCAGGGTCAGTTTCTCCTGAGGCCTCTCTAGTTGGCTGGCAGATGAATGCCTTCTTTCTTGACCCTCACATGACTTTTCTCTGTGCAGTCCCAGTATCTCCTTTTCTTGTAAGTCCTTTTGGATCAGGGCCTTACCCTTATGACCTCATTTAACCTTAATCACTTTTCTAAAGACCTTATCTTCAAAAACAGTCACATTTGGGAGTTAAGGCTACAGTGTATAAATTTTTTTTTTTTTTTTTGGCGGGACACACACACACACACACACACACACACACATTTCAGTTCATAACAGCTGGTGAATGGGTAAACTGTGGTATTTCCATACTATGGAGTTCTACTCAGCAATAAAAAGAAAAGAAATATTGCCCTGGCCAGCGGGTTCAGTGGTTAGAGCATTGCAGGTTCAATTTCCAGTCAAGGGCACATACTTGGGTTGCAGGTTCAATCCCTGACCTCAGTCAGGCTGCATGCGAGAGGCAACCAATTGAGGTGTCTTTCTCACATTTATGTTTTTTTCTCTCTCTTTCTTTCTCTCTCTATTCCCTCCCCCCTGCCACTCTCTCTAAAAATCAATGGAAAAAGTATCCTTGGGTGAGGATTAACAAAAAAGTAAAAGAAAAATATATCAACACAGGCAACATCATGGATAAATCTCAAAAATACTGTGTGCTACAGAAAGGAAGCCAAACACCTTTATTCCGTTAATTCGAAGTTGTCAAAAGGGTACACAAACCATAGTACAGGAATCGGATTAATGGTTGCCAGGGGCCGTGGGATGGGGGATGGGATCAACAACAAAAGGGCATAATGACATTTTTTAGGGAGATGAGCTGTTCTATATCTTGATTATAACGGTAGTAGTCACCGCACTGTATTATTACAAAAACTGATCAAACTATACACTGAGAGTGTTTGGGTTTCATTGAATATAAATAACACCTCCACTTAAAGGGGAAAAAAGAATAAATGCTGTGGAACCAGTGCTGACCTGGACTCAGTCCCAGCTTTGCTGTTTCAGTCGCTGAGGCAGCTGGTGCCAGTCACCTTCCTGGGCCTCCGTGTGTCCATCTGGAAATGTCTGTGATGGCAGTGGTTTTGCAATTAGAATAGATACGGTTAGCATTTGGCACACAGTGCCTGGAGCATGATAAATCACCAATAGCTTATTACATTTTACTTTGTGGTATTTCTTCTCTTTTGTAAAGTAGTGAGTCATTAACACTAGTATTATACGCTGTCCAGTGTTACTTTCTAGGCTTGCAAATGAAATGGAAAGTTTTTCCTGGGAAAAATATGAAAAGTCAAAGAGAGAATGGTAGGAAGAAGGGGCTTTAAAACATCCAAACACTTTCTGTAAATGTAACAGATGAAAATGGGCCCCATCCTTTCAAGCATCATTTTTACCTGCTAAGTTCATGTTGTTTATAGAGAAATTGATCTTTTAAATTACAGTGTGCCAGGTTTGAGAATCACTGGCCTAAAACTATGTTACCTATACCACTATAAAGACAAAGATAGAAGA